TTGCCTGACAAGCAGGCTCAAGGTGGCTAACAGATTAAATAACATAACAAGAAGTTAAAACAATTAATGAATACAATATCAGTTTAAAAAAGTAAACAACAACAATTACAGTACCAATTATGGCGGTAATCCAATCAACCCCTAGCTAGGGGTAGTAACCAGCGGGGACTCTAGCCAGATGGTCTATGTTCGGCCAGAAGATGTTCCAGGGCATACCACTCAGCGGCGGCCCCTAATCGAACACCTGGCGGAAGTGCTTCGTTTTACAGGCCCTGAGGAACTGTGAGAGGTCCCGCAGGGCCCTGATGTTCTCTGGGAGCTTATTCCACCAGTGTGGGGCCGCCACCAAGAAAGCCCTGGTTCTGGTAGTATTTAGTCTGGCTTCTTTCAGACCAGGGAGAGTCAACCGGTGTTGCGACCCTGACCTCAGTGCTCTCTGAGGCTCGTATGGGGACATTTAGATAATTTCGCAAACAGTTTGTGCTTGTGCAACGTCTGGAGCACCTCCCTCACCAGTTTCACGTGTGAGGGTAAATCGGGGGAGTACAGCAAGATATCTAAATAGACAAAGGCACCCTTAAACAAGTGCTTGTGTAACACCTCGTTGATCAGGTTCATGAAAACTCTTGGAGCACCCTGGAGACCAAACGGCATCACCCTATATTCAAACTGCCCCAGGGGAGTGTTGAAAGCCGTCCTGTTCCGCATCTCTCACAGCAGGCCCTTCCCGTTTCCCGCCGGCTTGCTGTCCTCCTCCTCACTAGTGCCGTCCTCGACTTCGGGTAGCGCCACCTGGAGCGCCTTAGCAAATTTTGGCTTCCCTGGCAGTTTCTTCACGGGGGTCCCCTCGCACGTCTTGGGCGGTTCGGGTTTTTCCGCTCCCCCCTGGCTTGAGCCACTGCATTCGGCAGCGAAGTGGCCACGCTCACCACACCGGAGACAAAGCCCCTGCATCCAAGCGTTGGTCTTGGAGCGTTTTGGGTGGTCTTACCGGCTTCCCTTTCTGCGTCAGGGCCAGGGGGGGTTTCCCCCCAGCTGCTGTGATGTCTAAGCGTAAGGTGTTTAGGTGGCCTTCCACGCTCTCTGCCTCCTGCATCCATCCCAGGGGCAATACCGGGTCCATGGAACGAAGGACTGTCTCGTGGATCTCAGGGTTCAGCCCCACACGGTATAATTCGGTCAGGACTTGGTCCAGCCAATTCCTGATCTTTGCTGAGTGGAGTTTAAACTCAGATGAGTATTCTCTCACCTAGCGCTTTCCCTGTTTCAGGGTGCGGAGGAATGCCCTAGCCTTCGGGCTGGCATTTCTATCCTCGAACTGGGCACGCAATGCCCACATGAAAGCGTCCACGCCAACCAACTCCGGGGCCCGTGAGTTGTGGAGCCCCACATACCACATTGCTGCTGCTCCACGCAACCGAGCTGCAATCACATCCACCCGGCTGCTGTCATCCGGGAATAGGTGGCCCCATTTTTCGACAAATTTCATTACTCTGACCACAAAGTAAGACAAATCCTCCGGGTCTCCAGCAAACGTTGCCTCGATCAGGTCTTTGGGATGGTGTGGGGGGGAGGGCAGGGTATAAATGAAACAAATAAAATAAAAATAAATAAATGGTGGAGGAACGGGCCTATGGGGCTAGCCGGCCGGGGCCCTGGTACCGGTGCATCTTCACCGGGCCCAGGGCCCAGAGCCTCTGGGCCCACCGGCTGGCCCAGCATTGCAGGAACTGGTGGTTCCTGAGGGGGAGGAAGGGCCAGCACCAGCTGCTGGGCTTCCCGTTCTGCTCGCAGTGCCTGGATCACCAAATCCGGGATGCCCAAGATCACTTCATTGAAATTGTGCACCATTTGGCACTGCGCCTGTTTCATCTCCACAATCCACTTGACTAGACTGAGCTCTTCCTCCGTTGGAGACCGACGTCCGCTGCGCTCTTTCGCCACTTCCGACGTTGCCCCATAGGGTAGGAAGCTGGAATCACCCATCAGGCCGGTGTCGAACCGGCTGTCTCTCTGCAGACCCTTGGTAAGGACATATGTCTCCTCCGTCAAGTCCGGGTTAAACTGGCCCCACCGTAATGGCCCGGGTTGGTACAGCAGACCCCCCAGCTGCCTTGGCCCCCTCAGTGTCAAGAAGATGTGGGCCGATGCCATCTTCGGGATCATCCCTAGGTCCACGGTCATTGTAGGGGTAGTCAGGGGTGGGGTAGTCATCACCGGTACCTCGGGCTGGGTTGTAGGGGTCTCCTCCCCCAGTCGTCGTGGGTACGATTTTGTCCTCTTCCTCGCTCATCTGGGCTTGAGAGATGCGAACAATAAGGATGATAGGATTCCTAACAGAATGTCAGGACCCACAGCCAAACAACAGAGCACACACTTCCAAAAAAGGTTTTACTTTATTGTTAGTACTATGGTTGCAGTAACATGGTCACTGTTAGGAATGACGAGTATAGAACAAGCATATAGTGATATTGAGGATTCAACAGGTCCCCCCCCCCCTTGGAGCCAATCGGCCCGTTTCCCGCGGGCGGGAAAGAATAACCGATGGTGAGGCTGAGAAACGAAACTAGTCTCACGGTTAATTAAAGTGGAGACACTGCTCAGACAGGAATACAAGGTGAGAGAATCAGGAGGGAAGGAACGTGGCACCAACTTGTACAGAGGTCAGGCAGGCGAACCCTAGGCCTATAAATCATATGGCAGCCTAACTGACAGGGGGCTGAATTCCTTATTGATTTGAGAAGGCACACTTAGGATTGCACTGGAAATCACACACACATTTCTTTCCTCTACCCCAATTTATTGTTTGCTAACCACAAGTATGTACACAAGTACTATCAAGTCACAACCAACTTATGGCAACCCCAGCCAGAGGCTTTCAAGGCAAAGGAGATGCAGAAGTCCTTTGCCATTGCCTTCTTCTGCAGAGTCCTCCTCTGGTGGTCCTTCATCCAAATATACGGTGGCCAGCTCCAGTCTAAAAGCACATTTTACGCTGTACAGTTTCACAAATACAGATGAAAATAAGTTGAATACAGGTAACTTTGTTACTTGAGATACTGGAAAGATATGTTACGGGAAGCTCTGCACCTGTGGTGCTCCAAACCCAGGCCAGCAAGGTGACAGCAAGCACTGCTGTGCCAATTCTCCTACTCACATGCTGAAGCCATGAGCCCATGCTGCTCACCTTGCCTAGCCCAAGGTGAAGTAAGCTGTCACTATCTGTGCTCTTTCTTGCCAGCCCCACCGTACCCTACCTGTGGGACTGCCAACCTCCAGGTGGGGCCTGGAGATCTCACAGAATTAAAATGTATCTTCAGACCAGAGATTCCCTTGCAGGAAATGGCAGCTTTGGAGTGGACTTGATGGTATCGCATCCCTGCTAACATCTCTCTCCTCCCTGAACCCCACCCCCAGACTCTAATCCCAAAGCTCCAGGAATTTCCCCTGGAGTTGGCAACCCTATGAAGCCAGGGTCCCATCCAGTGTTTCCTTTAAGCTGTGGAGTCTTGGAGCAGAAATTCTACTTTGTGAGCTACTGGCATTAAAGTTGTGAGTGAGCAATTGGCTACTGCAAAAATTAGTTTGCTCTGGAGCCATCCTTCCTGAGCTAAAACAAAAATGTGTGAGCCGGAGTCTTAAAAACTGAGAGCTAGCTGTCACTGGGCGATTCTGCAACTAGCATTTGCTCCACAATTTCTAAACTGGGAGGAAAAAGTGCAGCTCAAAACCATACCTCAAGACAACACCGTACTGCCTGCAACATCACCCCTGAACAGCCATAAAATGGCCATAAATCTATGCAGAAGGTACAATAAAATCCAACGATCAAACAAAGCGAAAGTGGCATGTAGTGTGGAGGCTACAATATAATCTGGTGATCAAAGGAAGTGAAATCAGCATGCAATGCAGAGGGGAATTTCTGTTCCAACATGGGTTCCGTAAAACAACGCAGGCAAAAGCTAATGCAGAATCATCCACTAACTCAGCTTAGAGGGAACAGTGGTCCCATTGTGCTTGTGCTCCTCTTCACTGGCCTGGCCGCAAAGAAGATGGCAGGGAGTGTATGCGGGCCACTGCCACTGGACAAAGCTGGGCACTGCTGTGCACATTAAGGTAGGGGCTGCTACTCGGTGGCAGAACCTCTGCTTTGCATGCAGGAGTTTCCCAGGTTCAACCTCTGGAATCTCCAGCTGAAAGGACCAGGCAGGAGGTGATGTGAAAGACCTCTGCCTGAGAGCCTGGAGAGCCGCTGCCAGTCTGAGTAGACAATACTGACTTCGATGCACCAAGGTCTGACTCAGTATAAGGCAGCTTCATGTGGCCAAGGGTGCCGCCGGCATAGAGCCCACGCTGCACCTCCCTCCTCCCAGCCTGGTGAAGACGAGCCATGGTCACAGTGGGACGGACCCTGCTTTGGTCTGTGCCAAACGCCCGCAGCCCTCCAAGCTGGCTCCACTGTGGGGGAGGGGTGGAGCTCAGTCCCGAGGGTCCCCCCCCACCCCCGGATAACGTAAATGGCCGATTTCCTTCTCGCTCACGTTTGTTACCACCACTGCTGCCCTTCATTTCTCGCAGCCGAGAAAACACGCGAGTTCGGGAGCGGCCGCTAGGAGCGATTTCCGCGCGGCCTTGTTCAGCTGCGCCACGATTTCCGACGGGCCTTGGTTTGAAGTTACACTCCCCCCCCTTGGCGGTCGGAGTGTGATGGCGGAAGTGCCGCTCGGCTCTCTATGTGCCCCGACTGGGGCTCAGGGCCTCTTCGCACGGCCACAGTCACAGCGTAAGACTCAGGTACATCGGGGAGAGAAAAGAAAGGGGGACCTGGGCAAAGGGGTCGGGGCGGTCTCTCTGCAAGGTGGGCCCAGATCCTGGCCTAGTTGGGGCAGGACTGTCACTGACGTCAAGTAGCCCTATTGGAACACCATGGGCATGCTTAGTGAGTGCTGGGCTTTGGGGAAGAGAACGGGCTCACTGTAACCTTGTAAGCCTTTCGTTGCAAAAGAAACCCAGCCCCGTAGCCAACCATGGCCGTGGCCCCTCTCGCCTTTGACCGGCTTAACCTTGATTTTGCTATGAAGAATGGACATATTGCCAGCTTTGTACAGCTAAGCAGTCGTTCCTCCTCATCTAGTTTAGGAACAATAACAATATAGTAGCAACAGGTATATCTCTCCTGTTAGGAATCCGCTTCAGTCCCCTTACACTGACTATTTCGGTTTTTTTTTCAAAGTAAACAAACAGCCCACTTACTCTGTTCCAATGGGATCAGCTCTGCAGCAGTTTCGTGCAACTGACATGTTTTCTTGAGTTCCAGGCATATCTTCCCCATTGCATACCATATTGCAAGATAGAGTCCTTCAAGCAATGACCTGTTGCAATATAGAGTCCTTCAAGCAATGACGTGTAGCTCAAAAAATGGAAGTGCTCTTTCACTGCTGTTTGTGTAGCACTTAATTTTTTTAAAAAAAGTCTTGACTCTGAACAAGTGGCACAGTAATGCCATGACCACAGAATAATGAGGTACTGTTTGAACAACAAAGCAAATCTGATTTCTTATATCAGCTCAGAATTATGACATGAGAAGGTGGTATGATATTCTGAGGCTTCACTTCTGCAGTGTTGTGGTATCTGATTATGGAATGATAGAAGATACTTAGTAATACTGCTGAAATTTCTACTTTCCTTTCTGTAATAATTTAATAGAGAACCTAATACAGACCTGTAGATATGTTATCTGCATTGTGTTCCATAGCTTTTAAATATAGTTATCAATAATATGTCACAAAACAGGGTACTAAAAACTTTTTTTTCCCTTAGCATTTTGTTTAACGGAGATGGAGCCCTAAAGGTTTTGTGTATTGTGTTTATGGGGTAAAACTAAAAGCTACATAAATGGCATCTGGATAAAGTAATAGTTGGCTTCAATGTGTCTAATATGAAGGCTTTTTTAAAAATAGGAGTAACATACTGGAATCGGTTACAGTATTTATTGACTGTTTCTGTTCCCTTCCAGTAAGATGAAGATGCCTAAACTTAAGGGCTTTGAGTTTTGGAGAAACACATTGAGAGGTGCCTGCTATGTGGTTGCTCCCATGGTGGATCAAAGTGAACTCGCATGGAGACTGCTAAGCCGCCGTCATGGAGCTCAGCTGTGTTATACCCCTATGCTGCATGCTCAGGTCTTTGTCAGAGATGCCAATTACCGTAAGGAAAATCTGTATTGTGAAGTGTGCCCTGAGGATAGACCTTTGATTGTGCAGGTAATAACAATAACATGTTTCCTCTTTGAAAGTGTATTCTTTGAAGAAAAGGATGCTTTTTCCTGCAAGGTGATATAATAACATGGTGGTAAAATAGGTAGCGCAGCAATATCTACTGTAATATTGAAATTGTTTTTAGGTAGAGAACATTGCTTCAAAATAATAATACTGGTATAATATATTTCACAATTTATTGTTCTTGAAATCAGTGATATGTATAACATAATCCCACATGTAGGCTAATTCAAGTGAGCCAGACACCTCTCTGTTCCTGAATCAGTTAGGATTTTGCAGCAAGAGCATTTTGAGAGTGACAGGAATGGTAGAGGTGATCCTTAAGGTATGTTTGTATGCTTAGTTCTAGTGTCCCCGTATCACGGTTTCCCCAAAAAACTTGGAACAGCAGTGCTGCTCTGGTGCATGTTTATGGGTGCAAACTGTTGTATGCATCCTTAGCTTCATCCTCCAGAGTTCTCTTTGAGTTACTTGTACCACTAGCAGTCATTGCAAAATGGTTGGGAGCATTGTTAATGGTGCAACCTGGTTTGGGCAGCTGTCCGCTGAACACTACAAAAAATGACATGGCGAGGTTGAAATTTGTAAAAGAAGCAGGATTGTTTGTGAAAAAAGGCTGAGAGAATAGATGTCATGAAGAATGTCTCAAAGATACTTTCTCTGCTGCACAAAGCTGTATACATTGGATGTGAGAACTTTTTCAAAGCTACAGTGGGAATGAAGAAAACACAACCCACTGCAGACTTTTGGTTGCAAGGAAATATATATATATGGATTGTGTATGCCAGCACATGTGCATGCACACACACACACAGGTTGCGTAATCTGCTCCCAATAAATATGCACTGTACTCTGTGATCAGCTATGGTTTGGTCTCTGCATCTTAGTGTGTGAAGTTTGTATCTCTTTGAAGTGCCACCTTCCGGTGACTTGTCACAAAAGAAGTGTTTTATTTTATCCTGTTGTTCCATAATCAGTTGTCTTCTTTTTTTGACTAAACTTGCACCTGTGGACCCAGTTGCCAGAGCCACCTTGCTTATTTTTTCTGATAAATTCTTTTAGCATAGTCTAAATTTGGCTCGTTGATAACCCAGTCTCAATATGAATGCAATAAAATTGCTGGTTCAGATGGAATCTCAGAAAACCAGACCTTTCTGAAGACACATACATACACACCCATGATTTCTAGCCAAATATTTAGGTTTTCTTTATTCTTATGAGAAAGACTGAAGTGATAGTTATAGAATAGGAAAGTGCAATATATAAATGGTTTGGGGAACCTTGCCTAGTTGGACAAGATCTGGTGCTTAAATAGGCAGAAAACTGTTTAAGGTGTGTTCCCTTTTTGGAATTGTTGACAACCATAATCTATGATGGTTTTAATTGCATAGCGACCTGTTGTTTTATAAACTCACAGGGTATAGTACTTGGAAGTGTAATCTCCAACTGTTTCTTTTTAACTTATGTAACTCTTTTTAGTTTTGTGCCAATGATCCAGAAGTGTTTGTTCAGGCAGCCTTGTTGGCTCAAGATTATTGTGATGCCATTGATCTGAATTTGGGGTGCCCCCAGATGATTGCAAAGAGAGGTAAGGGTGAACTGCAGTCTGTATCAATGTAGACATTGAAAACCAAACTAGATGTGATAGGCATATGTGTAAATCAGGATGGGGTTGTTTTCTTACAGAATATTGAGGTTGTGAGTGATGGGAGCTAAACCCCACCTTCTTGTTTTCCTTACCTTGTTGCATTGCATTCTGTTGCTTGAAGCATTTATCTCCCAGCAGAGTTCCAATGCCAGAAATGAGCCATGCCAGCAAGAACAATATTTCTAACTATGGAGTACAGTGAAGTAAAGGAAGGGGCATGGTTTAGCTTCCCATGCTTGTACAATCCATTTTTTGTGAAAAGCAATAGGCCTCACCTGAATTCTACAATGGATAGATGAAATCTATGAATGCATACATGTAGATGGCTCTGTCATGTCAACTTTTGACTTAAGAGTATTCTCGGGCAATTACAATCCAAATTAATAAATGGTGTTTGCAACTCAACCCTACGTATGTTTACTTGGAACGAAGTTCTACTGAATTTAATATCAATCATTACCTAGTCAATATAATTAGAATTGTAACCTTGATTTATGCAGCAGCCTCAGAATCACTCCTTAAGTATCAAGCATGGAAAACCTGCATTAATAATTCTGTTAAACCTCTCCGTAAAAGCTTTCTGTGAAATCACTTTCCTATTGACCACCCTGTTAAGCTATCTTACATTCAAGCTGTACATATTGTCCTGATTCATGTTAGTATTTCGTAACAAAGTAGCATAAAAGTGAAGATATGCTTATTGGGTGTTGGTTGGACTGTGGCCACTCCAGCTGTTGTGAGAGGAACAGGTGTTTAGGAAGAGTTCTGTGCTGCAGTGTTCTGGTTCTGCTAAGTTTTAACTAAGAGTTTTGGCTTACACAGTGAGAGAATACCTTTTCCCTCCCTCTTGCAACTCCATTTAAGAGCATCATTTTTGTTCTGTGTGTACATGTGCACTCACCAGGACTATTGTCATCTTTGTTGGACCATGATTTGCTGTTTTTTGGTAGGTCACTATGGAGCATGCCTGCAGGAGGAATGGGACCTTCTTCAGAGAATGAGTAAGTTTGTGAGAACCATGAAAAAAGGGCAAGAAATGTTCAGAATAAATGGGAAACACATGGAATTCACTACAGAAGTGCTTGTTCAAAGGCATATAGGAAGACAGTATTTTTGTATCCCTCCTTACAGGATAACACAGTCCATTGCAAACCCTTTTCGCCACCCACTTCTTTTTTCAACCTTCAAGCTGCGTGCAAATCTGTTGCAGTGCTGAAGCACACGGACATGGGCTCCTACTTAGCTGTTACCCTTAGAAGCCATGAATTGCTCGCATGTGTTCAGTGTTGTTGCCTACAGTGTAACTATTGTCCTTGTGCCAGTGAGATTGTATCAGCACATTGATCTTTGAAAGTTGTCACATTCAGGGATATAGCCTGGTGCTTAATCCAACTTGTAGGAGTTAGCATTTAGCAATCAGAACTGGAGTAGACCATCTTCAGAGCACCCTGTTGCAATTCCAGTTTGATCAACCCACATTTCTTATCTAAACCTGTATGCAGAGACTAGAGTGGAGGTTAAATGTGGGGATACCATTCAGTTATGAGGCTTACTGGGGGGCCTTTGGCAGGGTGGGTGCGTGTCTTAAACATCTTTCTGAGCTCCTTTGTAAGGACAGGACATAGATGTAAAATATTTATACACACATGCACTCCATGCTGGAAGCTGCTGTGTATGTGGTTTCATTTTTTCCTTGAAAAGATTACAGTGGTGTTTTAGAGGTCCATTCAGGGAAGTTGTTCCTGTTTTCAATAAGTCTATATGTCAAGTAGGGTGGAGCTGGCAGACTGTGAGAAGAGAGTGTGTGTTAAGTGCCATCAAGTCACTTCTGACTTATGGCAACCCTGTGAATTAATGACCTCCAAAATGTCCTATCGTTAACAGTCTTGCTCAGCTCAACTTTTCCTAGCATTATTGCCTTTTCCAGTGACTCTTGTCTTCTCATAGTGTGACCCAAGTACAATGGCCTCATTTGAGTTATTTGAGCTTCTAGGGAGAGCTCAGGCTTGATTTGATTAGAAACCACTTATTTGTTTTTTGGTGGTCCATAAGACTCTCCTCCAACACCACATTTCAAACAAATCTACTCTCTTCCTGTCAGCTTTCTTCATTGCCCAACTTTCACACCCATACATAGTAATGGGGAATACTATGGCATGATCTTGGTTGCCAGCGACACATCCTTATGCTTAAGAATCTTTTCTAGCTCCTTCACGGCTACCTTTCCCAGTCTCCATTTCCTTCTGAGTTTCTGGTTAAACAAAACACAACCGGTTAGTTTATTCTATTTACCTCCCTTCACTCCCCTCACTTTTACTCTGTTGCACTTTACTTTGAGGCTTAAATTTAAAACGGCCCAATATTTCAACTAGTTAACCCTCGTCCGGGGGAAGAAGGGGGTGAAGGAGACTGAATCCACCTTAGTTAAGTGCAGCTATTTTTACGTGTTAAAGTTATCCAACTAATACTTATCTTTGTGCCTGGCTTAAAGAGCTTCCTTGTGTTGCTAGAGGTTGACGAAGGTGGACGTGTTCGGAGTAGCTCCGTAACAGCTCACCTTTCCTGGGTTCTATCCTCTCCCTAAGGGGCGTCAAGCCCTCGAGTCTTTCTCCCAAAGTATAGGGAGGAAGAGCAAGAGGCTTCTTTCAACCATAAAGTGTGAGGGAACACTTTGTGAACTTTGAAGCTGCCTTGAAGCAGGAGAACCAGAGGACGCCTGACAAGCCGGGACCAGCCAAGCATTGTGGCCGCAGCTAGAAATAGAAAATCTTGAACAACTTCAGTTTTTTCATCATCAGCCTTAAAATCGTGTAATTCCCCAGTAATCATTACTTTTGTCTTCTTGATGTTCAGCTGTAATCTTGCTTTGGCACTTTCTGCTTTAACCTTCATCAGTAGTCATTTCAGGTCTTCACTATTTTCTGCCAGTAATGTGGTGTCATCTGCGTATCTCAAATTGTTAATGTTTCTGTGAGAAGAATGAAAAAGCAAAATAAATCAAAAGGAAGAAACTTGAAAGCAACATAGAGTATGAATTGCCTTCTGTGGAGAAGATTGTGTAGTTATGCCTTTGCTTGAAAAAAGGTCATTTAGATTTTCTGTTTTTGCTTTACCATTCTGCTGCACAGTAGAGAGTATGGTGTATAGGCAATGCATCTCAGGACAAGAGTGCTATCCCTTTAATCATTTGAAGCTTTCTTAGATGATTTTTGGACTGAAGCCAATTTCATAATGTTTTTTTCTTGTTTTTCAGTTATGTTGGCTAATGAGAAGCTGTCTGTTCCTATTACATGCAAAATTCGTGTTTTCCCAGAAATTGCCAAAACTGTGAAATACGCTCAGTTGCTGGAGACGGCTGGTTGCCAAGTAAGGAGTCAGCTGTTCTCTGTTTTGTTGCATTACACACAGGGCTTTCATATTCTTAAATTTAATGGGTGCAGTGAGTCAGGGATGTTTTAATAACTTGTGTAAGCATTTCCTGTCCCAGTGTTTTGGCAGAGGTTGAATCAGAAACTCAGTCTCCTGACTTAAGTTGTCATCTTTGAATAAGCTGGAAGCAAAATGTATTCCCCTATTAAAAGTGCCAGTAACTTCTGAGAAAGAAAAGAGGTGCCTTGCAACATTGGACTCAGTGGTCCATCTAGTCCAGCATCCTGTTTCACACAATTGCCAACCAGTTGTCCTTGTGAGCCAACAAACATTACATGCTGCCTCCTAGCGCTAGCATTCAGAGGTTTACTGCCTCTGCTACTGATAGACCTATAGAATATTCCCGGGGTATTCCACCATACATATATTGGAAACAAAACAAACAGGATAAATCCCCCACAGTTTTGCTGTTCTCTTTGTATAGTTAGAGTTATAGTTCTGTAAAGGTAAAGGTTCCCTTGCTCGAAAGCCAGTCGAATCCGACTCTAGGGTTGTGGTGCTGATCTCCGTTTCAAAGCTGAAGAGCCAGCGCTGTCCGAAGACGTTTCCGTGGTCATGTGGCCGGCATGACTAAACACCAAGGCGCACGGAGCGCTGTTACCTTCCCACCGAAGTGGTACCTATTGATCTACTTGCAATTTCTTGCTTTCGAACTGCTAGGATGGCAGGAGCTGGAACTAGAGATGGGAGCTCACTCCATCATGCAGCACCCGGGTCTCGAACTGCGGAACTACTGACCTTCTACAGCCTGCAGTTCAGCGTCTTAACCACTTGAGCCACTGCAGCTCCTCTATAGTTCTGTACCTATGTTTTATTCTTGATTAAGCTGCTTGCTTTTGATCTGTATGTGATTTCTTGATTAATCTACACAAATATGTGCATGTACAGAGCATAACTTCAAAAGGTTTCAAGTCCTTGCCACAGCAGCTGAAATCTAATTTCTCTTGATTCAGAATCCGTAGGCTAGGAGAAATGTTTGTTACGAGGAGTCCTGCCACATTTTGTAACAGATAAAGAGGAAAGAAACAGTGTTTTTTTCTAGATATACTTGACCCACATAAATTGAAAAGCAAATACAACTTTCTCCTAGCTCCTGACAGTCCATGGTCGCACTAAAGAACAGAAGGGACCTCTAGCCGGTGTGGCCTCCTGGGAGCACATACAGGCTGTGAGGTAAGGTGCTGCTGGAGCCTGGTGGTGAGTCTTTTCGCCAAAGCCAAAGATTTAGGGTAAACACAGACATTTGTGTGACAGAGTGTTCTGTTTCTTGTACTAAACTGTGAATTTGATCTTGTCATAGATTACACTTATACATTACTAGGAAAAAGGCCCGTTGTGGAAAGAAATACAACAGTCTCTAGAAAGTGGCTCTGGGCGGGTGCCCCGGCCTTGGACACGCAGTGTCAATTTCCTGTGGCGACCTCAGCGCAGGGTATAATGACACTGAATCCACCATTTTCTCCAGAGGAACTGATCTCTGCTACCTAAAGAACAGTTGTAATTTTGAGTGATCTCCAGCCCTCACCTGGAGATTGGCAATGATGGTTCCCCAGAAGGGAATGGTTGGTTTGGAGGGTGGAGTCTATGGCTTTGTACCTGTCGGAGGTCCCACGCCTCCTGAAACCTCACCCTCTCCAGGCTCCATCCCTCACATCTCCAGGAATTTCCCACCTGGAGTTGGCAACCCTATCTCCTTCCCAGCCAGTCATCAACCTACCTTTATTTCCCACTCACTCTTTAGCTTTCCACATCTCACACACCTGCAGCCTCTCCCGTGCTCTGAAGCCCTGACTGCTACATCACATTGGCTGTCATATGGGGGCCACCTCAGCAGCATATAAGGATACAGAGCCCACCATTTTCTCCAGGGAAACTGATCTCTGCCATCTGGAAAGCAGTTGTAATTCTGAGTGATCTCCAGCCCTCACCTGGAGATTGGACACATTTTACCTCAGAACAGCAAACTGTTTAGAATGTTAGCGGCAAAAGCCAATCAAGTCACATATGCAAACGACCTCTGTGTTCTGAGGCAAAGGCCAATGAGGCTGCATATACAAATAACCTCTGTGTTCTGACTGGCTATGGGGGGGAGAGGAACAGCAAACTATTTAGAATGTTGGAGGCAAGACTCAAGCAATGCAGCCAGTGGATAGGGACAGATTCTGAGTGACACATCGGGGCACCAACCAATTCCAGAGTGTGTGGAATGTTCTAGAGAAGTGCCACCACCATTCAGCTTTTATATATAAGGGAGATTATTATTTTGGCAGACTGTACCCCAAGTAACTGAATCCCACCTATAGATCCCTCTGTTTCTCTGACCTCAGCTTTCTTTTGGACCCAGAGATACAACTTCAGTATTTTCAGAATGCTTCAAGTCATTCTGTAGATCAAACCTTGAATGTCTGTCTTGTGTGTGCATGTGCGTGAGGAAGAAGCAGGTCTCCATCTCCCTTTAGAAGGTAGAGTGATGGAGCAGCAGATACATGGATAAGTCTCTCCCGTCAAATTGGCAAATTAGCACATAATAAAAAAAGAGTTGAAAGAGCACAGAATACAGGAAATAAAACAAAGTTTCTAGCTAAATATACACTTTCACCAAGGCTTGCCAATTGCCTGGACTAAAAATGCCTCTTTGGTAGGGACTTAATAGAAAGTTATTTACAAGGTGATTTACCTCAGTGCTGTGAAAAGATTCAAGTGTCCATTTCAATATATTAAGCTTTTATTAAAGAAACAGAACACTTTTTTCCAGGTCTGCTGGTAACCCTACTTATAACTTGCAAGTATCTCTCCATCTGAGAGATTATATCAAGGTTGCCCACCGGCCTAGCATCTGGCCATGGCAAAATGAGAGAGAAGTCTGTGCCTTTTTGGACTACTATATCTGGGCTTTTCTTAGGATCAGGGAGCTCCCCTTTTGGACCAATATGGTGGGGTGCCAGTTTAAAACACCCAGCAAAGAAGGATTTAAACAATAAACTTCATTATTTTAGGGTGTTTTTCTTCTCAGTGGTACAGAGCACAAACAGCATGCTGTGTGTAGGAGGGGAGAGGTGATTGTTTTGCTAACCTTCCCTCCCCCCCGTTGACAAGAGACTGACAGAAGTCCAAGGTGCTAGACTCATAGGCTGATTTTCTGTTTCACCCACTGTCATGGGATCTCCATCTCAGGGAAATGCAGTCTGGTGCCTCACTGCAACAGGACTTTTGTGGTAACAATAAAAGGTTCCCCCCTCTGTCCCCCAAAGAGCTCTGGATCTGTTTTCTGATTTATGAATTTATTAGTGCTGCTGTTCTTTTTTTTTCTGTGATAGAAAGGCTGTAAATATTCCTGTGTTTGCAAATGGAAACATCCAGTACCTAAGTGACGTGGAACGGTGTATTCAGAAGACAGGAGCTCATGGTGTCATGAGTGCAGGTAGGGAGAGACCTTTTCCAATATGCTATTTATGAATCTTAGTGGATCGATGATAAAGCCCAAGTTTCAAAGATGACAAGTAGCCTCCTTTCAAATATGGTATCATCCAACTTGCTGGGATGGCAAAAATACAAGAGGAGACCAATGGTTCTGGGACTATGACTTGGCTTTTCTAGAGAGGTGGCAGGGTCAGTTATGCAGGGAAATTGGGTTTACTCCAGAAGTGTGTCTTGGTTGGATCAAGAAGCCCAGCATTGACAACCCTCCCTGATTTTCAGCCTGTGTGTGACAGGTCCTGTCTCAGAACTGAGGAGACCCACCCCACTTCTTACAATTTTGGGGAACCGAGTTTATTTAGAACTGTAAACCTTCCCCTCAGTTACAAGGAGAGCAAGTATAAAGGTTTCGGGTTTGCTGATCTGAGGTAAGTTTCGTACTGAACAAGATGAACATGGTGATCACTGAGGCAGGAGTGTATGTGTATAATAAAGAAGACTTATTTATTCACAGGTTATTTTATGGAACAGATCAGTAAGACATATCTCCAGATAGTCACGGGAGAAACCTGGCTGCGGCACATAAATTTAAACTAGTTATGGCTTCAGAGTGTGGTTTGAATTCTCTTAAATTCTTGCAGGTACAAATAAGCTTCCACTGAAAAGCCACTAGGTTGGATCCTTTCACACTCACAGGATTCCACCCACATCAGCCTGCCCCTTCCCAAGAGTCAGACTAAATGGTACAAGGTCTGCTTATCACCAGAGACAGGCCTAACAACCAGGTACTCTGTCCTCTTCCAAAGGTGGAGCTAAATGACTCTGCCATCCTACCAGGCAGTGTACCCTTCGAACTGTCTGCTCTTTTACTGAGGTAGACTGAAACTATCAGTGCCTCTCCCTGAGGCATATCTGAACTGCCCCCTGTTGTGCTTCTCTCCCACATTCCATCTACCCTCTGAAAGGTGATTGGGTGCTGGAGCAAAACTCCCATTGGCTCAAGGTGAAACAGCTGACTGGCGGTTTTTCCTTTCAGGGGCAGGATACTCTCCTGTCTGTCACACTGTGCATTCCAGGTGGCTGACTTGTGCATCTCTCTGTTATATTGGTTGTACTGTTATCCATTTTTTTCTCATGTGCTTGGAATTAGAGATGGGAAATTTCCAGAAATTTTGAAGCCATGGGGGAGAAAGTCCCCCCCCTTTTCCCCCTCAGGAAAAACAAAAACAAATTTGGAGTAGATTGAAATAATGTGCAATATTGTCAGCAAGCTGCCATGAGTGTGGAGATGTTTTCTAGTTGCTTTGCATTCCTTCCCATGCGCTTAATTGCTTCAAAGCCGCAACACTTATCTGTAAGGTTTTACTGGAGGAGATTGTGGTGTCTATCGTCCGTGGGAGCTTCTCCGTTCCCAGCTTCGCAACCGTTAGAGAGCCTGGCAGTCTCCCGCGCGTGGGAGCCCACCTAATTGGTTATTGCTGGGGGGGGGGCGCATACGAATGCCCTATATCCTATTATGCGCACAGGTAGCCCGCCATTCCTAACAGTGTTCATGTTATTGCATCTATGGCTTTTCAATAAAAGTAAAACCTTCCTGGAAGCGTTTACTTCGTTGTTTGGCTGTGGGTCCTGACAAATGCTTACTGTCCCACCAAATTGAAACTAATTTTACTGCTTTAACATAAAATGCATTATTCATAACTATATTTATTTATTTATTCTTAAAAAAAAAACAAGCAGGAAAAACTTAAAATCCAGCAACTTTTTTAATTAAAGAAAAAAATTAATAAAGACAAGACAAAATTATAACAATCTCTGGGTATATGTGTGCAGTGGTTTGAGGGAGAAGTGAAAAGGTCAACCACAAGTCAGATCAAAAGAACAGAAGGTATGCACAGCTGAAAAGTGATAAAACCCCTGAATGCTCCCTTCATGAAGATTAGATATCCTTCTAGTTACAGAAATGCATCTTGGGTTTAAGACCATGCACTTTAAAAGAGAAAATATTTCAAAGGAGTTTTTTTAAGTACTCCCCAAAATTTCCAAAGTTTCCCTTGGAAAAACTGATAAAAAGACCTCAGGGGGTAAAATCGCAGAAAAGAACCTGTCTTCCCCCCGCCCCTTTTCCTGGTTTTTTTCTGGGCCTTCACATCTTTTGTTTGGATTCCCTTGGGCTCTTACCCGGGCCTCTACATGCATACTGATTCTCTGCAGAACTAACCCCTTGCTTTTCCTCCCCCCC